TTAATGGGAGGAAAACAAACAAAACGTCATGGATAGTGAATCCCTCAAAAGACATGAAGACTCGAGGACCGCTAGTTAATTGAAGCTTATATAACATTCTGAGCTAAGGAAAGGGGTAGGGGTTCGGGGATACCAAGGGGAGGAATATCATTCACAGGGAGGCAGAGAAGATGTTTAGGAAACAAAGGTTGTCCTCATATGCAGATAAATTTTTTAGAGAAAAAGATATCTCTGTTATAGCTCTCTTCCTGGTACAGGTCCCCTTTCAATACAAACTTAAGCAGTTGAGTAAAGGACTTTTCCTGAATCTGCTGGCTAAATGCCTAGGTCAAAATAATCTTTATGCCTAAAGACATACTTTGGGGTAGCAAAATTCGCTTTCCTCCAATAGCACGCTCTGATATTCAGCTTGGATTCAGAAGCCAGATCTGACCTCCTTGTAAAGAGAGGTGGCAAACAGAATCACAAGGGGCTTTGTTCTTGAGGGTTTTTCTGAGCCTTGGGATTCAAGCAACTCTGGGCTTTTGTAGCGATGGGAGCACCAAGAAGCAGCACCCTGGACAGTAGCTTTGAGGGGTTGGATACCACGAAAGCAGGCAGGGCAGATCACAGACTTTTTCCTAAGCCCATGTATGCCACTTCCTGACGATTCCCAGAAGTATCAGGAAGAGACTTTGAAGAGGAGTGTGAGATCCTGTGCTGGCATATGGGGGCTAATTATCCGGTGACAGACAACTGGTATCACAATGAGCTCATTTGTTACCAGACAGGAGGCCTGTGGCATTTGTGGTACATGCAACACACAGAATACTTGCTATTTATTTTAAGTAGGCTCTTGACAACATAAAATTAAATCTATTCTAGTACAGCATGCTCATAGCAGTGTCTCCTGAAACAATAGCTGAAAATACTTTCATTGTGGATTCTGCAGTTTATGCAAGCCTCATTTTTGTGTTCGGCTCACAAGGTTTTTTTTGTGTTTGTTTGTTTTAAGTTTATTATTTTTTTTATTTTTGAGAGCGAGCAAGCAGGGAAGGGGCAGAGAGAGAGAGAGAGAGAGAGAGAGAGAGAGAGAGGAAGAAACAGAATCCCAAGCAGGCTCCACGCCATCAGTGCAGAGCCTGACACGGGGCTCGAACTCACAAATACACAGGGTGTTTTTGATGTGGTCCTCGTTTTTGCTCAGATGGCGCGACTGGTCAGTGGTTTCCTCCCACCCTCTTGCCCACAGTGAAATCTGTCACAATGTTATATACAAAATAAATCAAAGCGGAGCAGATCTGAGAAAGGCAGACCTTTACACATGTTGGTCCGGAAGCGCCTTTGCTTTGAATTTGAGGGGCTTTTGAGGAGAATTCAATCTGCATTTATTTTACTTTTGTTTCTCTTTGTATAGTTTTTTTTAATGTTTATTTATTTATTTTGAGAGAGAGAGAACAGGGGAGGGGTAGAGAGAGAGAGAGGGAGAGAGATAATCCTAAGCAGGCTCCGTGCTGACAATATACAGCCCTCCATGGCCCAATCCCACCAATTGTGAAATCATGACCTGAGCTGAAATCAAGAGTGGGACACTTAACCGACTGAGCCACCCAGGCACCCCCTGTTTGTATAGTTTTAACTACTCAGATGAGATTGCATTCATTTTGTTATTCGTCCATTAGGTTGGGTCATAGTTCACTCTAAAGTGTCAGATGGGGCATCCGGGTGGCTCAGTGGGTTAAGCATCCAACTCTTGATTTTGGTTCAGATCATGATCTCATGGTCAGTGGGATAGGGCCATGTGGGGCTCTGCATGGTGACAGCTCGAAGCCTACTGGGGATTTCTCTCTCTCTCTCTGTCTCTCTGTCTCTCTCTCTCTCAAAATAAATAAACTTAAAAAAAATGGCAGAACAAGAGTGTTTTCCCAATTCCCTCCCACTCTCAGTAGAGTAAGGATTTCTAAGGCAAAGTTCTCATTGTGTGGTGGAGATGGAAATCTACACTTTCTGTTTCTACAGGGACAATGACTTTAATAAAATTTCTGGGGTGCCTGGGTGGCTCAGTTGGTTTAGTGTCCAACTTCGGCTCAGGCCATGATTTCACGGTTTGTGAGTTCAAGCCCCGCATTGGCTCTGTGCTGACAGCTTGGAGCCTGGAGCCTGCTTTAGATTCTGTGTCTCGCTCTCTCCCTGCCCTCTCCCTCCCGTTCTCTCTTTCTCTCAAAAATAAATAGTCAAAATAATTTAAATAATACAATTTCTAGAAACACAGATAGGAGTCTAAAGGGATCTGTCTACCACTGTAGCTCTTTTTGTGCTGGCCTCACTATCTCTTTGAGACAGAATTTTTTGGGAGAAAGGACCATTTGTTACTCATCTTTGTATTCCTTGCCTTTCTTAGCACAGAGCAGGTGTTCTGAAAAGTTTTGTTAAATTGAATTGGAAAAAGAGAACAGAGGGCATTCTAGAATTGAATTATAACCCAACACACCTGCTTCTATGTATGTAAGAAACAAATCTTCAATACTAGGATTAAGAATTTTTGTTTTTATTTTGCTTGGGCAGGTCTTCCGAATCAAATCCCAACTTCTTAATTGCTGCTTTAAAGACTGCAAATTGTTCTCCCCTCAGGAAAAAAAAAAAAAAAAACTTAACAATTGTTTTTTAACATTTACTTTTGAGAGACAGAACATGAGTGGGGGAGGAGCAGAGAGAGAGAGGGAGACACAGAATCAAATGCAGGTTCCAGGCTTGGAGCTGTCAGCACAGAGCCCTACGTGGGGCTCGAGCTCGTAATAGTGAGATCATGACCTGAGCCGAAGTCAGACACTTAACCGACTGAGCCACCCAGGCATGCCTTTAGAAAAAACGTTTTAAAGCCTCTATCTGTGCAAAAAATTGTACTCGGCACTTTCACATACATTGCTACCTTTATTTACTTTCCATTCCCTTGTCAATAGCATTGGACATTATTTTTATTTGTTCATCTCAAATTCAATATTTATTAATATTTACTGATATTTTAATACTAGGTACATCTTTCCCCATAGTGTCCCCTCAGGTAGGTATTTACCTTCCTGTTACAGACAAGAAAGTTGAAACTCTGACAGGGGAAGGGACTTATGCAATTTTGGGGTCCATAGCAGAGGGAGCTCCGTTATTTTCTGGCTCTAGGTACCATGGCTTTCTTCTGCTCTACAGTTTCATCTTTCCTTTATGTGCTTTAAGACCCTTCTCAACCTAAGCATTCTTTTTTTTAAAGTTTATTTATTTATTTTGAGAGAGAGAGAGAGAGAGAGAGAGAGGGGGGGGGGGACCCAAGCAGGCTCTACGCCGACCCTGGTCTCCATCTTATGAACCATGAGATCATGACGTAAGCGGAAATAAAGAGTCAGACACTTAACTGACTGAGCCACCCAGGTGCCCCTCAACCTAAGCATTCTTATCTCTTTAATTATTAATCACCTCACCCCTTTCAGCCTCAAAAGAACTCTCTCCATGGTTTTCTTTTTCTGTTCAAAGTGACGTTTGTGCTGGAGATTTATGCATGGGTTGGGTGTTGGGATGGAGAGGCTCTAAAGGGTTGGGGACATTTACTCATCTACAAGTTGGAGAAATTCAGAGTTGCGGGGGAATGTTTGTAGAGAAACGACATGTTTGGTGGAGTCTGTCATTAATTGCTTTTACATACTTCTTTTTCCTGCCTCTTTCCAAAGTTGTTTTTAATAAACAAACGTGACCAAATGGGTTATTTGGAATCTGTATTTACCATTACAATATTCTGAACAGTGGTATTAGGAATGCCAGGGCGTGGTGCAGAAATTCCAAAGGTCCAGGCCTTTTTCTGTCATGTGGAATTTCTATCATGTACCTGCTCTAGTCCTTTGCTACTCAGAACATAGTTCTTGAACCATCAGCATCACAATCTCCTTGGAGCGTGCACCCCAGAAATGCAGATTAGTAGGTCCTACAAGAAGCCTATTGAATCAGAGGATCTGATTCAATATTCCGTTGAAGTTTAATGTGGTTAGGCTAGAGTAGTTTTTGCAGTAATCTTGGTCTGTTTCTTTGGAATCTTTGCTTTGCTTAAGGTACATGCATAAACACATTTGAAATTAATTCTGGATTGTTTTGGTGAGGTTATTCTAATGTTGCTATTATTCCATAGGGATTTTTCCAGCTGTCTTTGGGAATGCCATTCAATTAGTTAAATCAGTTTTTTCTAGATCTACTAAAAATCTTTGATATGTTTCTTTGAAGGCAAGAACCCAGTTTTATTTACCTTTGTGCCCACACAGTTTCTTGTATGTAAATGCTCAATAATTGAAAGCTGAATGGATTTTCTTTTTGAAAGCTGGACAGATTTTGAATAAATGATTGAATGAATGAATGAATGAATACATGAATACATGGACCAAGAGGAATCTCGATGGCACATCCCTTGGATTGGGGCAATGTCTCAGCCGTCCTTGAATTGCCAATGCTTCACAGAAAACCTATCAATAAATGCTTCTTGGTTAAGTTGTAGCTGTTTGATGAAAAGATGTTGTCTATTTATTCCCGGTATAAGACCCCAGAGAATAGAAACAGGAGAAGTGGAAAGAAAATGAAGTACTAGCCACCTTCACAATTGTTACCTCAGCCGATCATCACAACATCTTGTGAACTGGTATTATTTTACAGAGATAGAAACTGAGTTCTGAAATGTAAGCACCTCACCCAAGAACCTGATAATCCTTGGGAGTAATTTTTCCACGTAACTGTGTGCACAGCCCTGTTTCTGCAGAGACTGAAAGGTGGAAAGGAAAGGATCCATTATAATAAAACACAAAAATACACGACTCTGAGTTCCCCTTGCGCATCAGAGGCGCTGCAGCTCTGGAAGAGGTACAATAAGCAGGAACAATGGCATGAGAAACTACCCCCCAACCGGGACGTTTTTCCGCCAGCGGAACGCAAGCGCCGGGACCTTGAGCCGCCGGGGGGACCAGAGAGGAACGGACTCACGGCCCGGCAGTTGCCTGGTAACGCCCGCTGAAGGAGTCCCGGCGTCTGAAGGTCCCGGAGAAGTGTCACTGGCCCCGAGTGGGACCCCGTAGTCCGTTCTCTCCGCGCCAGCCTGTCCCCGCGGCTTGGCGGGCTAGGGCAGGGGAAATGTTGCAGGAGGAGTCGGATCTTTCTCTCGTTATTGCCCAGATAGTCCAAAAGCTCAAGGGCTCCAATTTGTACGCTCAGTTGGAACGGCAGGCCTGGGTGAGTGAGGCCGAGTGGGGAAGGATGGAGACGGGCGGGGCCGCGGCGATGCCTGGTCTCCTGCACCCCGCTCACCCAAGCCGGAGCCCGTCTCTGGTCTCCCCAGCTCGGCCCCCGGGCACCGAGGAACCTCCCTTGCAGGTGTAAACTCCACCGGCTCAGCCTCGCGCGTGGTGTAGTGGATTTTTAAAGGAGGGTGGGGCGCATCCCGCCTTTCTTTAGGCCGGAGAGCGCCGAGGCTCTTCATTCATACTGCAGCCCTTTCCAAGGTCTAATTTTTTAAGCTGCTGGAATCAGTAGCGATGCGTTGGACCACGTCTTCTCTCACATTTTTCGTCCTGTGGGTGGGTTTGGACCCCCCCCCCCCCGGTGCCTTTTTGCTTTCCGGCAATCTGTCACCTTCTTGCACTCTGTCCTCTCTGCAGTGATTTCTTACTTTATTGCTCCACCCGGCATTTCCTGAGTATTTTCTAACGTGCCAAGTTCTTTGGAGGCAGAGATTGATCAGGAGATCTTTTTGTGTGAATGTCTTATAAATGGAGTCATACAGTGTGTAAAGTTGTGTGTCTGGTTTCTGTCATTCGGCATAAGGCTTTTGAGATTTATTCACATTTTGGTATTTCACTAACTCTGTTCCTTTTGATTGCTGAGTAATATTTCAGTGTTTGGATGTACTGTTTATCCGTTCATTAGTTGCTGGGCATTTTCAGTTATAGTTGTGGGCCGTTTTCGGTTATAGAGATTATGAATAAAGCGGATATATACATTCTGATACAGCTTTTTGCTTGAATATCTTTCTTTTCTTTTGGATAAATACCTAGGAGTGGAAATCCTGAGTTCCATGGTTAAGTGTATGTTTAATTCTGTAAGAATCTGCCAAACTTTTCCGGAGTGGCTGTTATCGCTTTGCATTTCCACCAACAGTTATGAGGGTTTCAGTTGCTCTGCATCCTTGCTAGCACTTGATGCCAGTTTTTATTAATTCATTTTTACTTATTAATTACACTCCTCTGGTAGGAGCATAATGATATCCTGTTGTGGTTTTAATTGCACTGCCTTTATGACTAATATTGAGCATCTTACTATATGTTAATACCTTCTTTGATGAAGTAGTTTGTGCAAATCTTTTGCCCGTTAAAAAAAAAATTGTTTGTTGGGGCGCCTGGGTGGCTCAGTCAGTTGGGCGTCCGACTTCCGCTCAGGCAATGATCTTACAGCTCGTGAGTTCCAGCCCCGCCTCAGGCTCTGTGCTGATGGCTCAGAGCCTGGAACCTGCTTCGGATTCTGTGTCTCCCCCTCTCTCTGCCCCTCCCATGTTCGCGCTCTGTCTCTCTCTGTCTCTCAACAATGAATAAACATTAAAAATTTTTAATTGTTATTTCATTGTTGAATTGTAAGTATTCTTTATATATGACACAAGTCTTTTATCAGATAAGCGTCTTGGAAATATTTTCTGTCCATCTGTGGCTTCATCTTTTCATTTCCTTAACTGGATGTTTCAAAGAGCAAAACTTTTTTTTATTTTGATGGCAATTTTTTTTTTATCAGTTTCTTCTTTTGTGATTTGTGTTTTTGTGCTGTGCCTATGAATCTTTGCCTAACCCAAGGCCTCAAAAAGTTTCTCCTAAGGTTGGTTCTAGAAGTTTTATGGTTTCAGTTTTTACATTTATATATGTGATGCATTTTAAGTTAATTAAAAAAAATTTATGTTTTATTTATTTCAGAGAGAGAGAGAGAGAGAGAGAGAGAGAGTGCAAGCAGGGGAGGGGCAGAGGGAAAGGGAGACACAGAATCCAAAGCAGGTTCCTGGCTCTGAGCTAGCTGTCAGCACAGAGCCCGACATGGGGATTGAACCCACCAACTGTGAGATCATGATCTGAACTTGAAGTCAGATGCTCAACTGACTGAGCCATCCAGGCACCCCTTGAGTTAACTTTTTGGTATAGATAGATAGATGTCCAATATTGTACCTATTTCCATTACCTATTTGTTGACCACCTATCCTTTCTCCACTAATTTTGTTGGTTCTTTTGTTGAAAATTAACTTAGTAACACACACACACACACACACACACACACACACACACACACACAACAGTTTCTGGCTCTTTAATCTGTTCCACTGATCTATTTGTTTTGATTTTTGTAACTTTAAAGTGAGTCTTGAAATCAGATATTTAGTTTTCCAGCTTTGTTCCTCTTTTTCAAAATTGTTTTGGCTATTCCAGATCCTTTGTCTTTCCATTTAAAGTTTAGAATCATGTTGCAAATTACTACAAAAAGTTTACTGGGGTTTGGATTGGGAATATGTTGAATCTGTAGGTCAATTTTGGGAGAATTGACATGTTAACAACACTGAATTTTCTGCCTATGAACACATTTTGTCTCTTTATTTCTATTTTCTTTATTTTCTCTTGTTGGTGTTTTATAACTCAGTATACAAACCTTGCACATATTTTGTTTAGATTTTCCCCTAAGTATTTCTTGTTTTCTTGATGCTATTATAAATGCTATTATAAATTCTTTCTCATTTCATTTTCCACTTGTTTGTTGTCAGTATGCAGTAACATGATTGATATTTGTATATTTACCTTGTATCTTGTGACCTCACTAAACTTGCTTGTTAGTTATAGTACCACTTTTTGTAGGTTGCATAGGATTTTCCAAGCACATGTGTCATATGTGAATAAAGACAATTTTACTTCTTCCTTACAGTCTGTATGCCTTTTCTTTTTTCTTTTTTTTGTCTTGTTGCACTGGCTAGTGCCTCTACTGCAGTGGTATATAGATGTGTTCTATTAGGTTGAGGAAGCTCTCTTTTATTCCTTGTTTTCTCAGAGTTTTATTATGAATGGATGTTGAATTTTGTGAGATACTTTTCTTGTGTCTATAGAGATGCTCATGTTGATATGGTGAACAACACTGATGGGTTTTGAATGTTGAACCAATTTTACATTCTTGAGATAAATTCCATTTAGTTATGATGCATTATCCACATGTACATTTTTTATTCAATTTGTTAATATTTTGTGGAAGATTTTGTGGATATTTTCATGAAAAATATTGGTGTATAGTTTTATAAAACTTTGTCTGATTTTATCAGGTAATGCTGATCTCATAAACTGAGTTGGGAAATGTTCCCTCTTTCCTATTTTCTGGAAGTATTTGTATAGAATTAATACTTTTCCTTCTTAAATATTTGGTAGGATTCCCAATAAAGTCACTGGGGCCTGGAGTTTTCTTGGTGGGAGCATTTTTAATAAAAAAGTTAAGTAAAAAATATACTCAGGGCAGTTCAGGTTATTTACTTGTTGAATATTCCATATGTATTTGAAAAGAATGAGCATTCTGCTCTGGGTATTCTGTAAGTGTCAATTAGGTCAAGTAGATTGGCAATTTTGTTCAAGTGAGTATGGAGGCTTACTGAGTATGGAAGTCAGTACAGTGGGGGTCAAGCTAGGCTTGGGTTTTGTTACTACTGTCAATAGCTTCAGTGTACGATAGGCTTCAAATTTGGTGGGCTGCTGTAATCTTGTGCTTAGAAAGGGTTCTGGACTACTGGAAGGTTTTCTCATTGTACTACATCCTGTGCTTTCATCTGCCTCTGCTTGCTTGTGCCACTGAGAGAAGTCTCTCTCCCTACTCTTATCTTTCTCTTAGCAGTAGAAAGTTGTTACTCAGTCCTAAGCTCATGGTAGATACAGGCATTCTCTAATATACAGTCCATTTGCCTTGGGAATGGGTCTTTCTCAGTGTTCCTTCTTCTCTTCTTGGCAGCCAAACTCTGCCTTGTATCTGTGGCAGATGATGGAAGAAAGGGAGATTCCTGACCCTCACTAGAGCTGGCTCCCTTCTGCTTTGTACTGGTGTAGGATCCTGGGTCCAAGAGAGTTGGATTGATTGATTGATTGATTGATTGATTGATTGATTTTTACCTTACCATGAGTAAGATCATTTTGCGTCTATCTCACCCCCAGAAACAATTACTGCCTTGTCGTTAGAATGGGATGTTTTTGGAACCCTCTCTCAGAGGTTTAAGGTCATTTCCTCATGTGAGAGGAGAGTTTAGAGAAGGTAGCATGGTTTTATTCCTGTGCTGGAGTGACAGCTTATCCCTTCTGTGCACCTGTATCACGAAAAAGGGCTCTCTGCCCATTCTCTGCTCTGCCCCCATTCTCTTGGGTGGGAGACCCATGGAAAAGAGCATGAAAGTGAGTGTAAATTCCCCTTGTGTTTTGAGCTCCTAGTTATTCTAAACGGACATATTACCCCACATGCAGTCTACTATAGTTAAAATTTTAGCTGTATTTCTTCTTGCTTGTGTGGTAGTTTCCTTTTCCTCCTATGTTCTGCCAAAGTAAAATAGTTTGGAGTCCCATCTGTCCTTGGAGGGACTTGTTATTCTTTGAAATTTAATTCATTTGGTTGTCCTACAACCTCAATTTTCTGGTGGGTTCAAAAGTTCTGATTGGGTAGATTATACCACTTTTTCTCATTGTTAGGGTGGGAGAGGCATGCTCTTGTACTGGCTTTCGACATCCTGTGTATTAGAACTCCAATAATAAATGTTGGAGGATTGCATCTATGTCCATGAGAAAAATTGCTCTGTAATTTTCCTTTCTTGTAACGTCTTTGACAAGCTTTATATCAAGGTTATGCTGACCTGATGAAATGAGTAAGAGAAGAGGTCCCTCCTTTTTTCTTTTTTGTTTGCTGTAAGAGTGTTATGAGATTGTATTCTTTCTTTCTTAGGTGTTTGGAAGAATTCTCCAGTGAAGTCGGTGTCTTAGGCATCCTTTGGGGAAGGTTGTTTTTTGTTTGTTTGTTTGTGTTGTTTTTTTAATTAGCAGACTTTATTTTTTATTTTTAACTTTATTTTTTAAGGTTTATTTATTTATTTATTTATTTATTTATTTATTTATTTATTTATTTATTTTGAGAGAGAGAGCAAGCACACAAGCTGTCAGTGTGGAGCCCGATGTGAGACTCAAACCCACAAA